GCCGGGCCACGAGCAGGTTTCCCGACAAGATGCGATCTCCCCTTTAAAGGGACAGACTTGCACCCACAGGCATTCTGGATCCATTTCCGGATGCTACCGACCTCGGAGGGCCCGTTGGTCACCTCACTGCTTTTCAACCTGTTTCCGGTCTTCCCTGAAAGCCGCATCAGAGTGTCCCAAGTGCCCTGCTATCTTGGTGGCATCCGGAAAACAAAGGATCTGCCGCTCTCAGTCTGCGGCTACGTGATGGTTTAAAGGGGCTTTTTGAGGAAGGCCTCGCCGACCAGGCAAGTCAGGAAAATGTTTTGTGCTGCAGTTTGCTCTCTCCGCAGCGTCGAAGGCGACCTTACACCCTCCCCTCCCCCTGACCCCAGCTTGGAATTTGGGGATCCTTCCACCATATTTCCCTTCTGACAAGCAGCCCAACATGGAGCACACAAAGGGGAGGCTTACCCTCATCTCCTCCGTCCGGAGTCCTGACCCGTGGGGCTGGTGCTCCTAAGTGGTGTCCCAGCCCCACAAAATGTCTGATCAACAAAACTCTGCGCGTTAGCATTGCCGGTGGGTCCTGACCCAGAGGTGAGGGCTGCCAGCCCCAGGTTTAGGACACATATCCCCATCTTCCAATGTTTCTCTCACACCATGGGGTAGCTTATAAATCAAGATTTAATGCAGATCACAAAGGGGAAACACAGCCCCGTCCTGTTCTCTCCAGCACCCCCACCACGTTTCTGGAGGCGGACAGGAATAAATGAAGGGCACGTAGGGACAGGCTGAAGCCCTCAGGCGTGGGACACCTGCCACCGCAGAGACCAGGAGCAGACAGAAGGGTGGCCTTGACCTGGACAAACTGGCAGCACCCTCACAGGTCTTGAGGATGGGGGTCGGGGAGCCGAGCCACAGAAGCTGGAACCGGAGACCACGTGGCCACAGGACCTCACCAGCAGTACACCAGGGACCCCCAGCCCAGCATGGCTCTAGAACGACCCGGTGAAAGGACTGAGAACACTGCCCTGGGCAAGCCTCTGCCCACACCTCTGCCCGTGCCGAGGGCTCTGCCATGCACGGGAGGGAGCAAACGTTACAACACGCAGGCAAACATCCGGTTCAGGAGCTCGTGGGCCTGTACCATGTGCTCTGCTCCCAGACACCTGTGACCAGCTGCCGGGAAAGCAGGTTTTTATTTCAAGAAGAGACGCGGAGGAGAGGAGCTTGGAACGGGGACACGGGCAGTGAGGGGCCATTCACTCAACAGGCACTTACTAAAGCCCTACTACGTGCCGGCGCCGCGGGGAAGGCCGACGCCACCCGGGTTTGCAGAGGACACAGCCTCGAGAGACCGTCATGTGGCCACATGAGTGCCCTTGACGGTGGCTGACGTGGTCCCAAAGATACATCTTCATCCTAATCCCTGGATCAATCTGACGATCTCAAGTCAAGAGCATCCTGGATTTAGGGCAGGCTCTTGAGGCTAGGGTAGCCCAGTACCTTCTCTGAGAAAGGAGAGGGGGTCTGAGACGCAGACAGCGGGCCACGTGCAGCCGCCCCAGGACGGGAGCCACACGGGCAAGGCCAGGCTACCACCAGAGCCGGCGGGAGGCAAGGACAGGCCAACCCTGCCGTCACCTCGACTCTGCACGTCTGGCCTCTGGCGCGGAAGCAGAACACACCTTGTTTCCGTGCCACCCAGCGGGGGCGGGCATCTCTTGACGGTGGCCCCAAGACACCAGCCTGTGGCCCATCCTCACGTTCTGAATCAGCCCGCAGGGATGAGGCATCCTGGGAAGCAGAGGAGGGGCGGTGCTTGGATGCCCAACCTCAGCAGGCTGCAGGGATATGAGACGGTGCCCGCAGAGGCCACCCTGGGTCCCGGAGTTGGGCTCCCTGAGGGGAGACTCTGGACCTCTGCCCTCCACAAGGCTGGGCACCTGCGGCTGGGTGCCGGGGAACCCCGAAGCTTTGGCTGATGACTCGTCAGGAACAGGAATGGGGTGGTCCTAAGCTCTGTCCTGGGGATGGGCTGCCAGCAGCCCGGAAGACGCACTGGGGGGTGGGGGACGAAGCAGCAGCCAGGGTGGCACAGGGCCAGGACACGGAGGAGCGGGCGGATGCAACAATCCCAGAGGGGAAGTCTGCTCTTCCGAAGTCCCGCGCCTTCTCCCATGAGGAGGCCGCTGGCTGGTAGCCTGTCCCGCCCTGGAAGGGGCCACGGGGTCTGTAGGGGACATTCGCTTGGGAACCCGGGCCGGGGGTCCACACCTAACAGGCCAGCCTCGGACGGACCAAGGTCTCTCCATCCCCAGACTGGCCCAGGGAGAAGGTGCCCGATGGAGTCATCGTGGGAAGAAGTGACCGAGGGGTGACAAGGGGGGCATCTCGGGGACCGGCCGGTTCAGGCACCGCAGGGACGTTCTCAGGAGGCTCGAGCACAGCACAGCGTGTGAAACCGCAGAGGGAAAAGGAAGCCCTCCTGCAGCAGGAAGCAGATGGCTTTCTTCGGGACGCAGGACGTCCTCAGCCGGGAAGGCACCAGGGCCCCTCTCGGGCCTCAGAGCCTGGCCTCCCCCAGGGCGACCTCGTGGAGGTGACTCTGCACCCCGCATGCCCTCTGTCCCTCCTGCCCCGGGCCCCTGCCCCCAAAAGCTGCTACCCGAGCTCTCCCCACAATCCTGGGGCTCAGGAGCTCTGGCAGTGGACAGAGTGAGGTGTCAGGGCAGACTGCGGACGTCGAGGAGGGCTCAGGATGTGGGGAGGAAACCATCAGGTTCTCAGGTGGGCGCTTGTTCTGGGCGGTAGGTGAGGACAGGGGCCTGCAGGAACTCCGCCTAAAACAGGACGTCCGCCCTCTGAGTGGGGGGGCGGGGGGGCAGCTTGCATACCCTGAGCGGCAAGCCTTCCCGGGCACGTCCCCTCCGCTTGGCGCAGGGCACTGTCCCTCCTAGACCCCAGCACACGCGGCATCTACCCTCCCGCACGGGATCCTACATTCCCCCGCGGGATCCGCCCTCCCACATGGGACCCACCGTCCCCCGCAGGACCCCCCCCCCCCCCCCCCGCATGGGATCTGCCCTCCGGCGGGCATGAGGTTCTGACCTGCCCAGACTCCCCACACACGGCATCTGCGCCCCTCTAGGAGCGGGGGCAGCCCCAGGGCAGAGGGTCAGTGAACACAGGGCTGAATCGGGGCTCGAGGACAGACGGACGGGCTCTAGGAATCAGTGCGTGAGGGTGTCCCTGTGCACATTCGTGTGTTGCGGGGCCAGTCTGCTGGGTCAGCGAGACCCTTCGTCAGGACATTCAGAGGACCAGAGCCTCCTTCGTCCCCCCCTGGAGGTCCTGGAGGGTCCTGCGAAGCACACACCTCTTTGGGCCACACAGCAGAAAGGCCTGCAAGGCAGGTCGAGGGGCGCCCAGTCCTGCCTCGGTGGACCGTAGCAGCTGGTCCCGCATCTTCACGGGCCCCCGAGGTGGTCTTGGGAAGGTACAGACTGTGGTCCTGGCCCCATGAGACAGGGAAGCCGCACGGCGGCCAGTGCCCCCACGACTCAGGAGGGGCCGCCCTTTGTAGTTAAAGTCACAGGTCCGAACGGCTGAGCAGCGATTAAAACGTGTTCACTCGACCCACGGGTGCTCCGTTTGTGATAAGAGAGAAAAAACCCTCCGTCAGTCCAGAGCCGCCTGCATCCCGTACAGGAAAGCTCAGGGTACCTCAGACCAGACGACACAGTCGGCGATCTCCCTCCTCTTTGTATGAGCAGCTTGGTCTCTCCAGCCACCTCCCCACGCCCCCTTCCACCGTGCAGCCCCATCGAGGCCCGTGCTCAGAGCAGCAAGGAGGGCAGCCCTGGGCTCGCTACCACCCCAGACGGCTCGGCTCCGGAGGCTGGGAGGGCCCCCCGAAATCCCTGTGGTGGCGGCGCGGGGCCTGCACACGCTCCCTGCCCCTCCTGGGCCGCGGGCCCAGCAACTGAGACTCTCAGACCTCAAGCCAACCCCACTGCACCGCGCCGGCCTCTTGCAGTGGGAACATGGCGGAAGGGAGCTGTGGGCACCGTGCGGGCTCGGCCCTGTCCCTACAAGGCATGGCAGGCATGACATCATCAGTCTTTACGATGCGCTCACAGAGCAGCTGGTGTGGCCAGGGTTGAGGCCCGGGTCTCAGGGCAACGCCACGGTTTGCCCTGGCTCACAGGAGGGACCGTGTCGGCATGGGGCGGGCCGTTGGGAGGCCCGGGTGCCCCGCTCGGGGCACTGGAGGACGCAAGCGAAGCATCTGGTTCCACGCCCTTGTGCGGGTCTCAGACTCCGGGCAGGAACCAGCCACACACCGAACACGGCAAAGACTCGACAGCCAGACATGTGGTCACCCTCGCCGCCAGCAGCCAACACGGGGTGAGGGGCACAGGCATAAGACACAGATGCCATCGGCCGCCTCTCCAATGGGCGGATTGGCGCCGAGTCCGAAAGCTCACCACTGCTGGTCCACTGGGACTGCTCCCCGCTGCAGGTCCTGTGCAAGCCTGGCGCCGGCAGAAACAGGCCGGCGGGCTCTTCGGAGATGCAGGGCTGCGCCCAGCCGCCAGGTGGGCGATGGGGCAGAGGCGGAGCCCCGGACACAGCCCTCCTGGTTGGCACAAGGGGTACTAGAAAGGGGAAGGCTCATGAGCACCACCGCGGGGCAGAGGAATGGCTCAGAGATGGGGGTGTCTCCGCTGCACCTCGTCTAGCTCCTGTCTCTTAGCTTAAATGGGACAGAACCTTCCAGCCAACCCACGGACACAAGCCGCAGATTCGTCTGACTGAGCAGGTACACAGCAGTGCCTGCGTGGGCCGCGTGCTGTGAGTGACGGCTACGTGAGAACGGACATGGCCAAGTGGCCAGGGCCACACTCTTGGTCGGGTTTTGCTAACCGCGGACCCCAAGCCAGCGGCGTGAGGATTACAGAAGGTGGGGGACGTCTCCCTTCCAGGCGGAGCCCGTCCTCCCCAAGCCCACTCACCGATGTCGGTCTCCTTGTGGTTCTTGATGTACTCCGCCAGCTCGAAGTTGCCCGCGATGATCGCCACCTGTAAGAGAAGATATGGCGTTCACACGTCAGGGGCAGAGCCGGGCCGTTCGCATGTCCCCACCACTGACAGCCTCGCCGCGTGCACACACAGCCCCCGCCGCCCCCGGTTTTAAAGCAAGAGGCGTCCGTCTCCCTTCAGCTGTATTCAGCTCTAACAGACATACAACCCTGTGGGAGTTTAAGGGGCTCGACAGAATAATGACTCGTCGTACGCAGATGGTGGGAAGATCACCACGAGGTCAGTCAGCATCTGTCACCTTGGATGGTGACAAAAATCTTCTTTCCCCGTGATGAGGGCTTTTGGGATCTCCTCTTGTGGCAACTCGCCAGCGCACCGTACGGCAGGCACTGGGCCAAACGCCACGCCTCCACGACCGGTTCCCCATCTGCCTCGGCCCCCCGACCCTGGGAACCACGAGTCTGACCTCTCTTCCTGTGGGTTTGGGCTTCCAGATTCCACACGTGGGTGAGATCACACGGCTTGTCTCCCTGTGTGACTTCCTCTGCTTAGCTAGATGTCCTCGGCCCCCCGCCTCCGTGGCCACAAATGGGATCAGTCACGACTCTTAAAACAGCAGCCCCAGCACCCATGGGCCCCTAGACCCTCAGAATCAACCACCACGCTCGCCCCCTGAGCCCCTGGCCGTGTCACAAGATGAGGCTCATGTCCCGGGAGAACCCACAGGGGAGCGTGCCTCAGCCCAGAAGTCCCCACAGGGACCACCAGCACAGCCGCGGGGTGCTCGGTGAGCTGGCGCCTGGAGCCCCCCAGCCGCATGTCCTGTGTTCCCATCAGGCACGCTTGGGAGCCCCATCCTTCTGATTAGACACAAGCCGCACCCCAGAAGCAAGGGGAAGTGACACCTCCAAAAAGTGCATACAGCTCTTCACCAGACTTCAGGTGGGCAGGAAAAATTCCAGCCTGCCAGGATCAACACCTATGGGGGATGGTCCCAGTGCAGGCCCTACAGATCAGCGGGCTCAAGTGAAAAGGCCAGGCAGGAGGTCCCTGGGAAGACCTGGGTCAGAACCAGGTGGGCAGAGCTGCCAGCACCCCACATGGGAGGCCTGGGGCTCAGAGGCGACGGTCCACACCCCCAGGAGCAGCCCGCCCCCCCGGAATCTGCAGAGACAGACATAGGGCTGGAAGCTTCAGGGAGGACAATGCTCTTCCAGGGACCGCCCATCTGGGACCCCGGCTTCCAAGCGTGGACCAAGGACAAGGACAGGGACAGAGGGGCGGAGCCCAGGTGGGAGGTCCACATGGCGCCCTGAGGAGCTGGGGGCCAAGCCTGCTGGCTCTGAGGGGTGCAGACAGAAGGGCCTGCCAGGCAACATGGAGCCTATGACCCAGTGTCACTTAGGTGACAGCTGGGCACGCTCATTCTGTGGGTTCCAGCCCAACCCTCAGGGGCACACTGCTGTCACGCCCGTCAGCGGGCCTGCCATCGGCAATCAGAGACAAGTAAGAGCTGGCGGGATGTGGGGACCACGGCAGGCTGAGTGCTGCTGCCAGGAGCGTCCGCTGGCACAGCCGCAGTGGGAGAAGGTTCCAAGCGCCTTAGGACAGAGCTACCATCCTGTCCAGGAGTCCACTTCTGGCTCTAGACCAGAGGGCCTGAAAGCAGGTACAATGGTTAATTTTAGGTGTCATCTGGATGGAGCCACAAGGGCCCACACATCTGCCCCCAAAGTACTTGGGGGTGTCTGTGAGGGTGTTTCTGCATGATCTGTGGACTCTCGGTCATGCAGCTCGGGTGGGCCTCATCTAATCAGTTGAAGCCTGCATGGACCAAAGAAGCTGATTGGGAGGGACAACTCCTGCCCGCCTGCTGTGCCGGCACAGAAAGGTCTTCCGACCTCTAGACCTCAGGCCTGCTGGCTCCCAGACGGAGACCTACACCCCCTCTGTCCGGGGGTTCAACATCTAGAAGTTTGCGATCCAATCAGTAGGAAAAGTCAGACTAGGACGATCCAGCTGGTCTACCTCCATCTGCGTTGCTCAGCCCCAGCCGTGGAATCCCCAGCCGCGTGAACAACCTCCTGGCTCCGTGGGGACGGGGGCATGACCCTCCCCACCCCGCCCCAACCCCTCTTATGCAGAAAAATCTTCTGCACAGCATTACGCAGCCCAATGTATATAAAATATTTACGGTTGTCAAGGCGAGAAAAAGCCATTAAAAAAACATCTGAGAGAGGCATAAAAGTTTAGCGTTGCACACAAAAGAACGGGAGATAATTATTTCACATCGACCGAATGCATCCTCCCCCCTCCCAGATGGATTTGCCAATAAAATGCAAATTTCTCCTCTGAAATAGCACCGGCTTTGAAGGACACTATTTGCTCCCGGAAATCTTGATAAAGAGCAAACGGTTTTTCTATGTTTGCAGAGAACCAGCCTTTAAGAGCAGCTCGAGTCAGGACCGTCAGGTGGAGAGGGGATGAGCACACGGGGGTGGGGAGAGGCTTCTCCACGCCCCTCAGTCCTGCTCGCCCAGGGCCGAGACTCCGTCACAGGGATTATGGACACTGGGAGGCTGGCTTCCACCATGGGGTAATAAAAATGCCCATCGTGCTCGAGCTCACAGCCGGGACGGCGCCTGGCTCAGCACCCAGGCTCCCCAGGCATCGAGACGCAGCATCTGACGGCATCCTCGTGGCACAGCTGCGTAGCGTCGCCGTGATTCCTGCCTCCCAGACGAGGAGGCGGGCGGTAAGAGCTCAAGGGCGTTGAATTTCTACCTTACATACAGGCAGGCCCCAAACCTTGGAACCCAAAGCCTCGGGGCTCGCAGCCAGGTGCCACATGTGGCCTCCCGTGGCTCTGACCACAGGCGATCCCTGGCACCCCAGTGTAGGCACAGCACCCTTGCTTGCAAAGAGGCGTGTAAGAGAGATTAATAATGAGATGCGATTTGGAAGCAGAAAGTCAGCACCATCTTCTGCAGGACAGCGACCAGAGAGGGGACGGCTGGGGCCACCGCACACTCCTGCAGGAGCCGACTCAGGTCACCACAGCAAACACTGCTGACGGGGCAGCGTGGACTGTACGACTGTATAGTCTCGGGGTCCCAGAGGCTGGAAGTCAGCAGGGCAGCCCCCCGCCCCAAGGCCTCTGTCCTCATGTGCGGATGGCCATGTTCTCCCTGTGTCCCCACGGGGTTGCCCCTCAGTGTGTGTCTGTGTCCTGATCCCCTCTTCTCGTAAGGACCCCGGTCACCCTGGGTCAGGGCCACCCCGGTGACCCGATTTCACCTTAATCGCCTCTTTGAAGCCCCATCTCCAGACGCAGACCCATCGTGAGGTATGGGGGTTGGAGCTCCAATGCAGGGATTCTGGGGACAGAGCTCAGCCCAGGAGACCTTGAGCAGAGAGTGTGTCTTCACCTTCCTCACGGACACGTGCCATCTTCCAGCAAACATCCAGACACGCACGATGACTTGAGAACCTGTCCTGCCCACGTGGCCTGGCTACCGAGCTCACGAGGTGGAGGCCGGGGCCCTCGGGGACGTAATCGTCAGGGACGGAGCTGCAGGAACTGCTTCCCGAGTCTTGTTCACACACAGAGCCTTCGTCTCCTCCACCCCCAAGATTTTGTTATGAACATTCATTCGCAAGCACGCCCCTGAAACTGAAAGGCCAGAGCAACGGCCTTGACCTTGATTGCACGTCATTTCCGTGCCGCTTGGGCGGTGTGTGGCTGTGCACCTGCTAGACCCTCGTGCCACTTCCTGAGTATCAGCATCCAGAGGAAAGAAGGACTTGCTCCCACACACCAGGACAAGGCCAGAGCCGCGTTTGTCCCCACACAGCCTCTCGTCCCCTCCCCAAGTGCCTCTCCTGCCCTCCAAGTTGTTGCACTGTTTTTGTCTAAGTAACAGTACGTACGATGACATGCACAGACTAGACGTTCCCGGCTTATGAGCGTGCGGTCTCCACCCATGCTGCGTCACTCCAACCAGGAACCGGAGCCTCGCTCCTGCCCCTGCTGGACAGTGTCCTCCTGCCCTCCTCCCAGCCTCAAGAAGGCCCAGGCTCCTCACCGTACTCAGAGATGGGAAGACAACGTAGCAAATTGAATGACGTGCATGAAAACTTGTGTGGAGCCATGAAACCGGGAGCCGGCTGAGTGTTCCTACAGAACTTTCTTAGATGAGCTTTCACGAGAAACCAAATCGCACTGGCATTAAAATTGCCGGGGAACGATTTCTGAGAGACAGACAGGAGCTGTCTCGTCAAAAAGCAAGGTCCCCTGCAGACCCAGTCCCACGGGGTTCCCGGCCGCCCAGCATCGCCTCCCAGTGTGGGGATGAGCCACGGACCCGCCTGAGCCCGGTGAGGACACCGCCCACGGTCCCCGCTTCTCTCTGGGAGGAAAAAGGAAGAGAAAATGCAGAACCCTCTCCCCTCCTCTCCCTGTCCTAGCACCAACCTCCTAGTGTGCTTATAAATAAATTCAGGCTAGGTCGTGTCCTTTAGAAGAAAAAAAGACATACAGCTTGTAATTAATCCCAGTGTTGCAGAAGAAACTTATTATATACAGAGAATTTTCTTCCTTCTCTTTCCTTTATGCACATTAAATCACAGACCCTATTGTGGGAACGGTGACCACTCAGGAAACAAGCTGAACACCCAGCGGGTTCCAGCTGCGAAAATGGCAGGGAGGTATGTGAATTAAGTTCAACACAATGAAATAACATAAAATTGCATTTTAATACCTTGAGAAATTAAAAAAAAAAAAATCCAAAGACATTTACTTTCTTAGGAAAAACCCAGGGAGAGAGACTTGGGCTCTCTGTAGAGCCCTTGGCACCAAGAGGAGCCCCTTAAAAACCAAGAAGGGTTTTTAAGATCCTGGAAATGATTCAAAACCACTAAAACTCTAAGCCAAGAGCTCAGAGTGCCTTCCTTGGGGTCTGGGGGCTGAAAGAGAGCATCTGGCACTTAGATACCAGCTCTAAAACCTGCCCCGGACCCCACGCTGAACAGAAGGGGCG